AAGAAATCTGAGGACACCCCTCGAGGGCAATGATAAGAAGAATCCAGTGGCGCCTCTATCTGGACCTCCCGGCGGGCCACCCTGAGCCCTGAGGTCAGTCTGCCAACCAGTGTTCACCCAGGGCTATGGTTCCTCAGGCACAACACGGACCTGTTCCTCACTACAGGCAGGACTAATAATTAGTTGTCACGACTTAATAACAAAAAGAGATAATCCATACCACAACATACATGGATTTAACTAATCTTAATTTTGAAGGAAAATAGCAGCTCCCAGTAGATCAAATGCAAGGGTTCTGAGACGCCCTGCAAGTGGGGTTATCTCCAGCTTCCAGCACAAACCACTTAGTTACCTTCTCTCACATCCAGGGTAATGTTTCAGTTTTTCACATTGAATTTTCTATATAGCCTGCAGCAGATATTCTCAGAGCAGCATGGAAATCATGGGGCTCACCAGGACCCCTTTTCTCCAGCAGTGGGCTTCTGAAACCATAAATCAAACCCCTGTCTGTCCAAGGGCTCTCCAGACTCATCCTGGGCCCAGCTCAGGTTTTCCAATGAAGACACATACAGCAAGTACAGCCACTATGGTGATAGCCACCTGTCACCTCCAGGATAGGGATACAACCTCCCGCCATTACTATACTACAGCCTGCATTTCAGAAACCTGACATTTGGGCATTGGGAGTGTTAGGGCTCAAACCTGGGACAAATGACTGAGATGCCCAGTAACATCAAAGTAGAATCAGGTCGCCAGGTTCTCCCAGCATCCCTCAGTTCCTACCTTCCTACCTGTTACAGGGTCCTCCTGGCTGGCATACCTCCGCCCTCCACCCTAAACTATTCCTGCCCAGAGACTTGGCTGGGCTTCCCCTTCCTCCAGTTTCTCTGGCCCTTATATAACTCAGGCATTTTGGCTATGCCCGTCTCTTGGCCAGTTCCTTAGCCCAAGCACCCGTCTAAATGGCATCTCTCTTGCTCTCCTTCCCCCTCGCTCAAACGGGCTTCAGCTCAGCCTGGTCATGTTTACTCTGGACTTTCCCAGACGCTGCTGTCCCTGCCTGCTTTCTCCCTTATATCTGTAATTTTAAAAAGAAAAAGAAAAAAGAAAGAAAAAAGAAAACAAAAAGACCTCAACCCCTTAGGAACAGTCATATTCTTCTTTTGTTTCTTTTTTTAATTCAGGGAAAGAAAAAGATGGCGGCAGCAGATTCCTCCCCGTTGGATCGACCCCCTTTTGAGTATGGACAGGGTGATAACATGAAGAAACAAATTTCCTTTGAAGGCCATCTTAGGAGAAAGCAGAGGGCCAGACTCAGCTCCGAGCCTTTGGGTTCAGTCCGGGGCACACCAAAGTCCCCATCCCCTTCCCAGAATGAGGCACTGTGTGGGACATAACAACATGGCATTAGTGTGATAAAAGATAGAAGGGTGGACTTGAACCCTTGCCCATCTCACCCTGCCGTTGTTCCTCATGTGTGAGTCTCAGAACCCAGTGGAAGCTTCCACAGTTCTCACTAAGCCTTACCCACATGCAGGCCTGAGTCATCGTTAGCACACTGGGAGCAGGGTGGCCTCACGTCCTGTCTTTCCTACACAGCTTCAGACCCCAAATAACTGAAATCCTTTCTCTCCGTCCCCACCCTAGACAACCCCTCAGCAAACCCTGTATCTCCTCATCCCCCACCCGGGTCAGCCTGGGTGCATGGACCTAGCGTCTGAGCAGAGCATTTCTGCTAGAGGCAGAGAGAGGCCATAGGGAGAGGCATCACAAGCTGCACCCAGGACCTCCACGGGTGGGTATTACCGTCCACACCCCTTGCACGCTTGACTCAGACCTCAGTCAAAGGCTTTACTTCCAACCAATCACCATTGTCCCTAGGTGGGCCTTGACAGCCACCAGGAACTTCCTCTACCACAGCAGATGAGCATGGAGGAGGCCAGCGTCAAGAACAGGGCTGCTATCTCCTCACACAGTCCTCTTGAGAGTAGGTGTTGAATGAATGAATGAATGAATGAATGATGCCCTCCAGGAGCTGAACTTCATAAATTCCTCTCTGTACCTTCCTAATCCTCCATCATTTAAAACAACAAAGAGATTGCAGACTGTTTATAGCCATCTCCAGAATGATATTGCCAAAGAAGGAGCAGGGACAGAGTTCACACCTGGGTTGGATGACTAGTCAAATCTCAGCTCAATTCTCACACTGGGGACACAGTTAAGGACAGGAAAAAAAAAAATCTCAACACCTCCATCCATCTCTGGGGCCCTGCTTCTAGAAGTTTCTGGTAGAAAGGAAAGGCTACGGGAAACAAGGGAAGGCTCCAGAACGTGATACACTCTCATTACCACCCCATCATGGACTCAGTCACCCCAGCCAGCCAGAAGCAGTCCTGAGAATCAACAGCCACCTGCTCACCAGCTACTGGCAGGGACCAGCAAGGCCAGTGAAGATGGCCGCAGGACATGGAGCAGCTGGGAAGTGCCCCTGAAGCCACAGCCAGGAGGCAGGAGCAGGGGGCCCACTGAGGCCAGTGTGCCTGCGGCGTGGACAGCAGCTGTAAGGTTTTCCGGAAGCCTGGATATAGAAGACTCCACGATTCCTAGCTCCCCTCTTAAAATATAAAGACTCAATTATCTTTGAGCAGCTTGCTTTACACATGAATTGACACATTTATTTTACAATAAATAACTGAAAGTTATCTGTGTTTCCTTTACTGTTAATCTACACAGAGAAATAATAAACAGGCCTTGTCGACCAAGCTGCAAGGACTGCAGAGTCCTCAGAATTCAATTAAGCTAAAATAATTAATGCTCTCACCATATTAAATTACTTTATACATTTGAGCCACTGATGTTTTATTCTTTAATCTTTCCTTTCTATTAAACGAAGAAAAAAAAAAGAAGGAAAGAAAGAAAAGAAAAGTTGGTACCCAAGTAGGGAGGGGCCAGGAGACCCAGGCGTGGAAAAGAAGGATGGATTGGGTCGCAAGAATAAAATGGTCAGTTGCAGCTGACACAGCAGGCAGAGTTCTGTGTGTCTTTGATTAGAAAAACATTTTAAATACTTTGAACAAACGTATCTCTTTAGGCTGCTAAGGGCTTATTCTACCTATGGAAGAAATCCATTCCCCACCTCGCTTCTCTTCCGTGCCACTAAACAGAAGGGCTGAGGACATCTCCCGTCACACATAAATAAAAATACTATGGGCCATTAACAGGGGACGCAGGGCATGTGGGGAGCTGGAGGATAAGGACGAAGCTGCCAGGAGATGAACCGCTTTTTGAAAAAAATCACATTTAGTTGCTTTCTTAAGCAAACTTCCCCACGGTGATCCACAGGCTCTTCTTGGGAAAGACTTCAACACAAAATGAGGATTTGGAGCCTGGGCTCAGGAGATGAAAGTAAATAAAGGCCAGGCACCCCTCAATGTCTGCTGTGCGCTGCTGACACCAGATGTCCCCCCACTTTTGAAATCTACCCCAAGTGGTATGTCTGACAACAACAAGGGACCAGACGCCCTTCTTGCCTTAATGGTGAAGTGTCGTGCTGGCCGTGTTTTTGTGCCTGGTTATGCTGGCATTGTCTTCATACCTGATTCCCACTAAGACACCCACCAGAAAGCAAAGTCTAGGCCAAGATCGTCCATAGGCTCCCCTGCTCCCCACGGGCCAGACTGTGCCTTCAGACATTTGCGGACTGTGCAGTTACTCCCAGCGAACAGATGATTAGCTGGGGGCCAAAGACATGCAACCGGCATGTTTTGGAGGTGGGCTGGCCATGACAATGACTGTCTCTAATGTGAAATCCTGGCCTATGCTGTGTTACCTCCTCAGAACATGCAGTGCCCCAGTGTCCTTGGGGTTCGTGACCCAAACACCACAGGACTGTCTTTATGTTTCCCCATCTGGCTACCTACTTGCATGAGGCCAAGCCAGAAGGAAACTCCGAGAGCAAGTTCCACTGCCGAAGCACCTGTGGAGCCCCTTCTTTCTCTGTTCCCATACCAGGTCTGCTAGGATTACTCACTCCCTATTGACAAAAGAGGAAACTGAGATTCAAACGCATGAAGCAGTCGGCCCAAAGTCCAAAGGCAGAACTTGAACCCTCATCTGCACAAACCCTAAAGCCTGTCTTGCTGTCTCTTTGGGGAAACACAGTAGAACAAGTCTCTCATATTCCCCAGAAGCAAGACCTTTGGTTTGCACAACACACAGAGGATCCCTGGGAGACTCTAGCATGTCACAGTATGGCCAAGAAGGAAAGTCACCAAATGGGTCCATCCCACTGAAAGACACCACTGGTACCTGGGGCTGAGGCTCCATACCTGGTTGTCAGGGTGACAGAACAGCCATCTAGGTAGAACCAAATAGCTAGCCAAAAAAGAATGTCCGTTCTCCCCTAAGGGATCAGAGTTCAGACAGGTTTCCACAAATGGAGGGCCAGGCAAAACAGGAAGCAGGCTTATGGATCAGATGGCCTACCTACCTCCTCTTTTCACAGCTGGGGAAACTGAGTTCCAAGAAAGGAGAGGAGACAAATGTCACATGTAAGTGCCTCGCAGGTACCTTTTGAGTCCTTACAGCAACTGACAGACACCAGGAAGGTCTCCTGAACTCCCTCTTAGAGATGAGAAAAACACTGTTTCCACGTTGGGAATAACAGAGTCCAAACCAAGCCTGGCTTCAAAGCCAGGGACTGAGCCAAGATTACCGACAAAAAGAGGGCCAAGACAACCTCCAAATTTCCATCTTGCAATCCAGGCCACGTCTGGGTTAAGCTCAAGATAAGGTTCCCTCACCAAAAGCAAAGTACCCAACATGCAGCAGTCGGGGCCTCCCTCAGCTGTCTTCCCCAGAGGGCCACAGCCCCAGATAGTGTGACCCAGAGGCCAACTTGAAAGGCCCTGCATCTCCCTAGGAATCAAGGCTCCAAGGTCAGGGGGCAGGACCAGCCGGGGAGGCGGTTTCCGCAGCCACCAGGCGAGCAAATGTCATACCTGCAATGTTCTCCTGCTTGGGACAGATGCCTTTCGTGGGTGACAGTAGGTGGTCATCTTCATCAGGGGTGACCTGGATCCCGATCTCCACTGGCTCCGCCACTCTCCTGAGCTCAGAGCGAGAGGAGGGTGGAGGACTGCCCTTGTCCAGGCCCTTGTCGTAGCAGGCCCCCAGGCCCCCACACTGTTTCTTCTTGTGCTCTATAAAAACCAGGATGTCCCCCAGCGGGAAGTTCATCTGACACTGGCCACAGGTGAGTAGGTCAGGGTCGGGGCCACCCACCATCAGCCCCAGGCTGCTAGGTTCCTCTATCTCCAGACCCTCGTCTTCCTCGAGGATGGCAGCCTCCACATGGTCAGCCTCTGCTGGAGACAGAAAGGAGACAGGGGAGGGGCAGAGAAGACAAAGATGGGCTTAGGTGATCACAGGCACCAACTCCCGCCATCCCTTCCCACTTAAGAAGCAGGCCCCTTTGCTGCCAGTTACTGTGACTCCCCAAATCCTCCCAGAATTGGAGTTCACCATTCCATCCCATCATAGCCCTGAGGTCATCACAGCAGCACTGATTCTCAGCTCCCTGGAGCACACCTTGCCAATCTCTCCCAACACGCACACCCCGCTGCCAGCAGCATGGGCTGGAAGGCAAGGCTCTCACACTTCAGGGTATCTGAGCATCACTCGGAGAGCGAGCGCCTCACTCCAGATCAATGACTCTGGAAGCCAAACATCGGCATTCTTTAAGCTGCCCCGTTTATTCCAATGGGTGACAAGGGTGAGAAGCAAGGCAGTAGCGCTGGGCCCCAACCCCTCTCTCCATCTGGAGCCGGGCTCTCTCCCCACCAGCTTTCATTCATGTTCTTAGCCTCCCCATTCATGAGCTTCCTACTCGCATTCTTCCACCTGAGTCCTGGCCAGGCACCAAACTGGAAAACAGAAACCCAGAAACCCAGACAGGCGTTAGAAAGCCAGTCCTGCCCGGAGAAAGAAGCAGCCGCGCTCAGAGGGAAGAGTCAGATTCCAGAATGTGAAAGGGAATGCAAACTGACAGGGAGCCGGCTGCCCCACAGGCTGGGCTCCTGCTCAGACCTCCATACCCTCAAAAACTCTCAGGGCTCATCAGTTCACACCGTCCTTTCCTATCGGTCGGTTTTCTTTTCATTTCAAGACAGGGAAAAAAGAAGGGAAAAAAAAAAGGCCTCTTCAGACTCCAAAATCATTGCTTGGCAGATCTCAAACTGCGCTTTCCATGGGTCTGTAGCAGTCAGAGCACTTCCTTTTGCTGTTTGCGTTATTATTTTGGAAGGGGCACAGGACCTAAATATTTTGAAGTCAATAAATGCTTCAAGAATCAGCCACTCCCTCAAGGGACCCTTGGAAAGCCGTACAGCGAGGTAGCCTAATAAATCAAAGGCAGTGGACGGGAGGTTCCCTGTTCCCCTTGGGGTCTGGGCAACCCTGGCTGGAATTCTTCCCTGTCAGCTGGAAAGAAGGCACAAGTAGCCAGGTCTTCACGGGATCTGGGAACAGCCACAGGTCTGACACCGAGGAGGAAGGTAAATCATAAACTATACAGCAATTAGAAAAGGGTAGTGATTGGCACAGCGGAGCTGGAGGGGTGAAGAGGAGGAAGAGGCACTCCATGACAGTGAGGCTATTAACGGGCCAGAGCAAGAGTGGAAACCTGGAGGGAAACAGTCTGTGGCATCTCCAGTGCTACACGGAAGTGGCTGTTTGTGTTTTCTGGGCATAAGCTTGCTCGGGGCCTGTGTGAGTCCGTGTGCAAAACTGACTGCCGCGTCTGAGGCCGGTGACGTAGAAGGTGCCCCTGGAGCCACGCGTGATACAGGGAGAGGAGCAGGTACCGTCAACGGAAATCACACCTTGAGTCTCTGCCCGTGGTCACCAGGAGGCACGCGGGCCCTCTGTGAATTAAATGTTGACAAGCACCCGAAAACGTGGCAGTTCAGAAACACTCCGCAGATATGGAAATCCTAAATCTGTTGTCCGCAGCTGAACAATAATAACAACAACAAAAAAATAATAGGTAAAGGGACAATCCTCACCACACCGCCCAGAAACCATTAATTATACTTGAAAAAGAAATCGGAGGTTTCTTAAAAGGGAGCTTGAAGACAATGCTACGTAATTAATTTACCGATTTATCTTATGAAAAGCTGCCTTGCCATGGTTAAAATGTAATCACAACCTTCAAGCGGAAGGTTTGAGGGAAAGACTGGATTCCTGTAAATCGTTTGTCGGGACGTAAAAGGTAATTATTCGTTGCCTCCTTTCCCTTTAATAATCTAACATTGAGCAATACTGTTTATATTGAAAAGCTTGTACCTTTAATTACCAATTACATATACATAATTTCAGAGCCAAACGAGAGGGCTGTGCGAACAGTCCTTTAGAAATATAAGGCTGGGTTGTGCTTGTCTGCAGAAAGGAAACACTAATAAATGGGAGAAGAAGGCTGTCGAAGTATTATTTGGTCCAAAAAAAGGGGGGCACAAAGGAAATGGGCTGAAAAGAAAAGAGAAAAAGGAGGGCAAAATAAAATTGAGAATTCAAACGAAGCAAGGTGAGGTGTATCTGTGGTGTGGTTTTTTTCAATGCTCGCCTTGAGCCGGCATGGCAGTGCACCTGGTCCTTACAGCCTTTGATAAAAACAATAAACCCACATCCCCGACCCAATGGTGTGCTCCACAGCCCTTTAATTGAGTCTACCATCAATAATAATAATAATAATAATAATAAAAGTTTTTTTCAACTAAGCCGGACAATTCTCTAGAGTTTGAGTTATGCCCTCTCTGCTAGGAGGGTTCAAGTCACAAAATTTCAACCCGATTCTCTAATTCCAAAGAAACACAGGCTTATATAAAAATTAGTAAATGTCATATATGTCTGCGCAGTATCCCTTCCCTGTCCACATTTTCTTTGACCAAGACACCAAACTGGTATCGTCTTTTGTAATATATAGGTATAGGTCTGTCCATCTGTGTTCAGTCTGTCTTCTCACTTTCCTCATACAGCAAGGCCGTGAGCCCCAGTCATTGGTGTAGTCTCCCCAATTCTGTTTACTAAGCTGTAGTTCTGAATTCTGTGTCTCCCCCTTACAGGCAGCCAACCTGGAGCACCAGAGCCCTACAGACAGGCTAGGCTGTGCCGGCACAGGCTCAGCTCAGAACTCAGGCCTTGCCTTTAGAACTGGGACCCAACCCACTGCCACGACTCAAGGAGTTGGGAGGAGAAGGAACCAGGAAAAAAAATAAAAACTACCTCCCCTCCCACTTCCAGTGTTGAAAGGAAAACTCCCAAGGTGACAGCATGCTCGCCCTGTGAATGCCAAGGAGTGGGGATTCCTCTCCCCACCTCCAGTCTATGGGAGTGGGTCTCTGAACTGAGGCCTGTAGCTAGTGATTCTTTCCTGAGGAAGGCGGCAAGATCATCCCCCAGCATTCAGGCAGCAGAGTCCCACTGAACCCCAACTTCTGGGTAAACCAGGCAGCTGATTGGGCCTGAAAGCTCAGGCAGAGGCTCTGAGAGACACCCCAAAGGCTGTGGTTTCATTTCCGCTAGCAGGCGGATATGGGCTGGGCATGTAGTGTGTGTGTGTGTGTGTGTGTGTGTGTGTGTGTGTGTGTGTGCGTGTCCCTTCTAAGAACTGTATCAATAACAGAGGAAAGAAAAGGGAAAAGAGCCTCTTGGCCAAGTCCTGAGAGAAAGGAGGCTGGCCCTCTGGGAACCCTCCTCGGCAGCCCTGCACTGAAGGCGTAGGTCTGGCCCAGACACTTGCATATCCCAGCCTCCACTTCCATAGGCAGAGAGCCCCACTTGCCACAGGAGAGACAGACCGGTCTTCCAGCCCCAGACTCAACAAACCAGCCCCTCCCTCAGCCTCATCCCACAAACTTGGGCCTTAACAAGCAAGGCACAGGTAAAGCGTTTCTCTGAAAAGATACTTTCAGAGAAAGCCGCGCTTTCCTGAGAAACTCCCGAGTGTCAGGCGGCCTGCAAAATATTACTGCTCTCCATACACCATGAGCCGAAAGCCGAATAAGAACAGCGGTTGCTAAAATGTTTGACTCATTAAAGAGGAATATGAATGGACGGATGCAGCCAGCAACTTGCTTGAATATGATACCACAGGATTGGAGAGAGTTCTGAAATATTAAATCTAAAGCACGTGAACAAATATATATTTACACACGCGGGGGTGGGAGGGGGAGTTAGATTTTCTTTTACAACAAAACCACATTTTATTTACAAGGCTGGGCCTTCTCCCAGCTGGTAAACGCATTTAGAGGCAATGAAATCAGGCTTCACAAATAATAATGGGCATCATTGTTAAGTGGAAGGGGAAACCCTTGATCCTAAGGCAAACTTCCCATGTCTCAGCCCCACTGGGAAGGAATCTGGGACAGAAGACAGAAGGGGAGAGGAGCTGTTCACACTGGCCCAGTCAAGCAGCCATCAAACCTCCAGTGGGGTTCAGAAGGCCTCCCCTGGCCTGAGAGTTCTCTATGTGCACACAGATCCTAGGGCCCTGCCCGTCCTGGTCCATCAACAACCGCCCTACACCTGCCCTTCAGGGAATTCCAGCCAGAAAATCAGCTACCTGCTATGCTCAGGCCACAGGGTGTGTGCACTGCTACACACACACACACACACACTATTGTGCACATGGGCTCATGTTCCCCTTTGCTTCTGTTCAACTCCGAGTCTCTATCCTTAAAGGCTAACCCACAGTCGGTACTGTTTCAATAAGGTAGGTGGAGACAGTAAGGAAGGACGGGGAGAGGGGCTGGCTGTTAAAACAGTGTGCTGCCAACGTCACAGCCCACAGCCGCCATCACAATGCATATGTATGTTTACAAGAAACGTTCAGCATCCAGCGAGCTCTGCCTCCTCTGACTGAAGACTTTCCGCCTGCTTCCGAGGAAGCCAGAGTCTCAGACAGCTAGCCTGTGCCTACCAACAGTCTGCAAAGGGCGCTTCTCACACTGGGCCGGGTGGACACTCTGGAGAGGCCGAGACACCAAGAGCCGCACACAGCCACAGGAAACCCCACCTACACTCACACCTGGCAGAGCCCAACACTTTCTGAACTCCCATCAAATTTTAATTTATTGGATCACAGGGAAAATAACAACCCCAGGGAGGGGAAGGAGGGGGCTGGGTGGGAGAAAGCAGGAATCAATTCTTGGGGGAGAAAGTGATCTATGACTGGATGACGCAAGGCACACCCCGAGGTTTGATGGAGTTCTGCAGCCGAGGGAATATTGATGTGCCCAAAGAGGGCGAGGTGGAGGAGAAACACACACTGGGAGCAAGGCCCACGCTGGGCCACAAAGGGTTAGGCCCC